CACAACTTGTAATCAAAATTGTGTACTTACTAAGTCCACAAATACTCTGTACTCTTAGGAAGGATCTTGTGTATTGTTAAAACAAACAAACAAACAAACAAACAAAAAAATGCTAAGTCTATAAGTCATTGTTTTTAATAAGGCAAATTCAAGCTAAAGAGAAATATAAACAAGTTAGTGTATAGAATGCCAAATCAATAACTGTAGACTCCCTTTTCTCCAGTAAGTACCAAAATAATTTTCATCATTTCTTTTGGATAAAATCCAACACCAGCAACCCCACCCACAAAATTTCTACCTATTAATGTTTTGGTATGTTTGGGTCACACCTGTCACTCACAAATTGGATTAAATTGAGTCTTAGAATTGACCCTAAGAACATGAATAAATATATGGTGTTCTTTGATGCCTATGTTCCATAGGCTAAACACAGCTCTGCCAGCTCTACCCTGTGTTTTATAGGCCAGCACAGCAAAGTTAGTCCCCACTATATTCTAAATCCATTGGCAAGATTTAAAAATTGAGATGTTGTGAGACTTTAAGATTAATATTCTAGTCTGGCCAGTTGGTCGTATGTTCATGAACAGCATAATCATTTGTTGCTAATGGATGGTACTGTCTGTCCTCTTTAGACAGGACAGCTGCTTTTTATACTCTTTCTTTCTCTCTCTCTCTCTACTTGTTATACTGAAGCTGTATGTCAGGTTCCATTTATCATCAAACACAAAACTGGTTTCGTTCATTTTTAATCCTAGCCTGGTCTCTATAGACATTTGAGTTTGTATCTGTTTCTATTGCATTAAGCAACTTTAAGAACAGTTTCCTTTTTTATAGATTCGGAAGAAGATGTATATTTGGTAATGTGTTTACATCATTAAACTTAATATCATATTTTTCCTTTGCTATTTGGAAGAGATTTTTATTCTTAGGTTGCTATTTGTATATTCCAACACTTTGACACAAGGACATCAAATTGATGTAGACAGGATGTCAGAGTGTGTAAGGGAGAAAGTAGTTAGCATTGATGGACAAACTTCAGAAGTCATCATTTTCACCTTGACAAAAAGTAGAGAGAAAGAAAATCTTATGCCATATAAGACAATAGGGAACTTGTTATCAACATTTCTTCAGGAAAAGAATTTGGGTTTTGTGGTCTTAATTCCACTTTGACTTTTTGTGACTTGCTTTGAAATATCTGAAAGATAGCAGAATGTGAAGTCTCAGATTCTATTCAGTGTCTCTGCAACATTCATAGATGATCTTTCAAATAGAAACAAAAGTCTTATTCCACACCATTTAAATGGCTTTCAAATAGAAATACTCGAATGATAGATATTTCTTGATAACATTGGTTATAGATGTATAGGGATGTATGTGCAAGTATTTATTTGAGTTTTTTTTTTTTTTTACAAAGATGAATTGATATGTTTTTCTCTAAAACGGATGAGTTGGACAATGAGTATTAACATTAAATTCCATACTGTTTTATGTAGTATAAGATTTCCAATACAGAAGTGCAGATCTGGCATAGATGATTTGACTTGCCTGAGGCTGCATAGTGGTTCAGGGGCAAAGGAGGGAACAAAAATGAGTGTCAATACTACCACTTTTGTGCATTTGCTATAAATGAGACACCAAACTAGGTCACAATATAATCTCATTCATTCCTGTCTATAACTCAATAACACAGACATTGCCTCCTTTTGAAAACTGAGGACCCTGGGGAATCTCAGAACTGAATGATTTGCCCAAGCTATCATAGCTAGAAATGGGGCACTGCAGATTCCAGAACAAGCTGTAACCTGAAACTGTGTCCCTAAAGCTTTTTGTCATACTACTTAGTGAAAGATCGGCACACTAGAAGAAACATCGTGGGAGATTATAGGGTATCAAGATAAGCAGTTTATTTGCGCTCTCAGGTGAGGCTCACGGACTCAGAAGAGGGAGTCCAAGAAGTTGCACCCCAGAACATGTTAGGGGGGTTTTATGCTAGTTGATGAGAGTGAATAATTGTTTTTTGGAAAAGTAGAGTTTCAGGAGTTTTTAGCACTGTTACTGCTGATTCCTATCAAGGATCTTTCATCCATTGCCCACACCTAGTACCAGGTGACTACTGGTATAGATACTGAAGTCTCGGTTTCCAGGCCCGAGTCCTAACACTTATTCTTAACTATATTAACCCAACTAATAATTGGGATATTATTTTCTTTGTATATCCAAATGTAAATGTAAATAATTGGGATATTATTTTCTTTGTAAATGAAATGTGAATTATAATGTAATATAAGATCAAATTTGAGTCTTGCCTATTTCTAAAATAATATAATAGTTTATTTTTACATCAATGTGTGCCCTTTTCCATCTCACTTGTAATCCCATTACCAAATCACCCATGTGCCATCACCATAGTCCAGTGCACTTCCCTCCCCCCACCATTTTTGACCCCATTCCCCATTCCACACCTGTAAAATGTCTCTGACATATAGTTGTTCATTATTATTATTTTCTCCCCTGGTCCTTTATATTCCTGTTATGAGTGAAATCATCTGGTATTTTCCCTTTTCTTTCTGGCTTATTTCACTAAACGTGATCTTCTCTTCTCCATCCATGTTGCTGCAAAAGGCATGTGTTTATTTATTTAACTATTTATTTTGGTTGCTGAGTAATATTCCATTGTGTATATGTACCACATCTTTTTAATCTAGTCATCTACTTTTGGGCATTTGGGTTGTTTCCTTGTCTTTCCAGTTGTAAATAAAGCAGCAATAAACATGGGGGTACAGGTGTCTTTTTGATTCAGCGTTTTTGTGTCTTTTGGGTAGATACCTGTGAGTGGGATTGCTAAGTCATGTGGAGGCTCCATTCTTAGCAGTTTGACAAACCTCCAAACAATCTTCTATAGTGGTTGTACTAATTTGTATTCTTACCAGAAGTGCAGAAAAGTTCCTTTTTCTCCACATCTTCACCAACATTGGTTGTTGGTAGTTGTTTCAAGATGTGTCATTCTAATTGGTGTGAGGTGGTATTTCATTGTGGTTTTAATTTGCATCTCCCTTATTACATGTGATGATGAACATTTTCTCATATACTTGTTAGTCATCTGCATTTCTCCCTGGAGAAGCATCTTTTTAGCTCTTCTGCCCATTTTCTGATGGAATTGTTTACTTTTGTTGAATTTCATCAGTCCTTTGTATATCTTTGTGATCAATTCTTTATCCCTAGTTTTTTTTTTTTTCCCAGTCAGCAGTGGGATGTCTGTTTTTTTAATTGTCTCTTTTGCTGTACAGAAGCTCTTTAACTTGATACAGTCCCATCTGTTTCTCTTTTCCTTCACTATTGCTGCATAGATCTTCAAAGATGTTACTGAAGTGTATGTCATGTAGTGTTTCATCTATCTTTGCTTCCAGATATTTTATGGTTTCTTTTTATGTCAAGGTCTTTAATCCACTTCGAGTTGATTTGTGTGCATGGTGTGAGGTAGTGATCCAGTTTAATTTTTTTGCATGTAGCTTCCCAGTTTTCCCAGCACCAAAGAACTTTCTTTGTTCCATTATATCTTATTTACTCCTTTGTAGAAGATTAGCTGCCCATAAACCTGTGGGTTTATATCTGGGTTTTCTATTTGAATCCACTGGTCTGTGTGTCTGTTCTTGTACTAGTAACATGCAGTTTTGATTATTATGGTTTTGTAGTATAGCTTGAAGATTGGGATTGTGATGCCTCCATTCTCTTTCTTTTTAGTCATGAGGGTTTTGGCTATTTGAGGCCTTTTGTGGTTCCATATGAGTCTCATCAATATTCTATTTCTCTGAAGAATATTATTGAGACTTTTATTTGGTTTGATAAATTATTTGTGATGAAAGAGAACAAACACACATCTATTACCTGAGTTCTTGTTATAAAAATTCTATGCCCTGCATTTGGCCCCAAATATTGGCATGTGTCATTCAGTTCCCAAAAATAGGCAAGGTCCCATCTTGTCTTTAAAGAAGGCTCTGTGGGTAGTTACTACATACTACTCCTCTGTGGCTTTCAGGCTGCTTCCTCCAATTCAGCTCAGATTAAAATATACTTATCTGTGTACCTGTAATTTTTTTACATAGGATAGATACAAGGAATGTGACACTATCTCTTCCTTAGCCCATGTGACCTTTAGCAATTCATCTAATATCTCTGATCCTCAGTTTCCTCATTTGTGAGGAATAGGGATGGGAATAGCATGTGGAAACACTAGTAATTTCTGGCTCAACAGAATTACTCATTTCATGCCCGTTTCTCACTTACATTTTTTAAACTTTCATTTAAAAGATACAGACTTTGCCATGAGCATGAAAGCACAATTTTAAAAGAGGAAGAAAAGCCAAGTTTATTCCTCATCTTTGTGAACTTAATTGTCAAAATGTGATTAGTCAGTTTTCTATTTACATAGTTAATGAAAACTCAAAGTCCATAACTACCAACATATTACACATAGAACAAAATGAAGAACAACAAATCTAAACGGCAACTGTATGGGCTTACTTTTATACAGAGCTAAAAGTGAAAAGAAACAAACCAAGCTGATTAAATCCCATTGGAAGATGTCTGAAACAAGTCTTTGGAATGATTTCAGGTGGGATTTGTGATGCCTGTTTCAATTTAGTTACTGAGGTAGCTGATCTGGAAAGAGAGGTGATGAGTAGTATTACAACACCACTGCACTGGGCAGTTGGGGTACTCTTAGGAGAGCAAGCAACTGCAGGCAGACTCTGCAAAACACCTTTGTTTCTGGAAATACTTAGGGAGATGAAAAGTCCATTGGTTTCTGGAAGCTGGATTTTGTATTTGGCATTCCTGCATTTCACACATACTTAAGAGATGAAAGGCCACCTGTATCCCCCTTACTGCCCCATCCAGGCCCTGCCTGACACCACCCAAATCACTGGTAAAAAGAAAAGTCTGGGAAGAATCCCTAGGTTACCCACAATTTGTCCTCTTTTTCTTAAATTTATGTTTTGCAGGACAAATGATACTGGCTTTCTTTCCTTCAAAGACCACTTGCCCGTCACTCAGATAGTTATCACTGATACCAACAGATCAAACTCAGAAGCCGCTTGGAGAATTGGTCCCTTGCGTTGCTATGGTGACCGTGAGTACTAAATCTAAAGAAGATTTCTCTCTGCATTACATAAGCACAAGATGTTTTTATTCCGTATCCCTGTCCTTGCAGTGTTCCCCAGTCTTGAAAATTATGCACATGTCCATGCTTTTCTATACTCCATTCCAAACAACGAACCATTCTTAAGGATTTTCTCATTTACAGGACACTTCTGGAACGCTGTCTCATTTTATACAGAAGCCTCTTATCTCCACTTTCCTACCCTCCATGCGGAATTCAGTGCTGACATTTCCTTCTTTTTTAAAACCACGGCTTTATCTGGAGTATTCCTAGAAAATCTTGGCATTAAAGACTTCATCCGACTTGAAATAAGCTGTAAGTGACCTAATTTATGATTTTAATATAACTGGTTAACGGAAGAAGTTTTAGTCTTATCTTTGCCACTAACTATCAGTGCATATTTGTACTATCAAATTAACTTTCCTTGGATATCTGTAAAATTAGCAGTGATGATTTCTAAGTCTTTCTGGTGCTTTATGCTTTAGTATTACCACTCAGTATTTAGTTAGTCCCTCTTCAGAATAGTGCATTCCAAAAATTTCAAAAGATACCTACTATGTGTCCATTGTTGGATTCATGCTTAGTTCTTAACTGTGACTTAAACTTTTCATGTCACAGTATTTTGTTATAGCAATTTCCATGGTAAGGGTGAACATATATATTATATATTCATGTTTGGGGTTTGCTTTTTTAATCGAATTTCTGCCTGAAAGTAATTTCCTGACATATTTCCTACTACTGTGAGTTTATGACCACCAAATTACAGTTGCAATTATTTTTTCTTCCACTTCACCATCAACAGTATATAGTGAATTTGATATCAGGAAATGGGCATCTAGTAAATCTGATGTTAGCAAATTTCTTAATATTCCATTGCCTATAAATAAGTTAAACATAGTACTAATAATGGACTGAGGTGAAAAAACATGGAAATGTAGGTAGTGAAATAGTATACTATTGAACATTTTATATGTAACATGCTAGTAAAATATTACAGTATAATAATAATGCACTACTATTTTTTTTCATTTTAGGGGAAATGTACCTTCATGTTATTTTATTCTAGTTCATAATAATAGAAATTTTCCTTTCCTTAGATTTAACTTCTATAACTTTGTTCATGACATCATCAAAAATGATTTTGTGTGCATATTCCAGTTCTTAAAAGTATAATCAGAATTACCATCAATTTTCCCTCATATTAATCAAATAATACATTTTATTGAATTTAAATTAATATATTTTCACTTTGATCAAGAGATATACAAATATTTTAAATATGAGAGTAAATATGATAGTGACTTACAAATTTTAATTTCCAACATTTTCATTTCAGAAATTATAATGTTGCCCATGTATTTTTTTTTTTTTCAGGAACAAATTTTAGCCTTAAACATCACTGCAAAAAAAAAAAAAAAAAAACAGAAAGTTTCATCACAAACTATCTTTCTGTTTGTCGAAAAGATCTGGAATTGCTTGAGCTCTCTTTGGGTGCAATTAATGTCTAAAACTCCAATGTCACCATATATTCAAACATATTGGTATATTTAATTAAACAATGCAACATACAAGTTGTCAAAATCAGAACAGCAGTTCTTAAATTTGAAAACAAATACATATATTTTAATAAACCTTTTTAGAAATCAGGAATATATCTAGGGTTCTCTATATTAAATTCCCTCTTTAAAATACAACTTAGGTTCTGATTTGAAGCCTAGATATTTATTATTAAAATCAGCATTTGTTAGAACTTAGAAAGTAGCATAAGTAGGTTTTGGGTTTTGTTTGATGAAGGAATGTTTTATCACCAAACATGTTAAGAATGGTACCTGGTAATGACAAAGAAGAAACCTACTTTTACTTGTTTTTTCCTAGTTTTTCAGATTATTTGCAGTCTGTGTAGCCCTTTATTTTTTATGTGACACATTGATTGTTCCCATTGTCCTACCTGTCTAATACTCATGACCATGAAATCTCATTTGCCATTAGCTATCTCACTTATCTGTATCTAAATGGATGTTTTCTCTAGTTTTCTTGAGGCAATTGGACACATTACAATAATGATGTGATTGCATGAAATACCCTTGAAAGCATTTGTAATGTCTTAGCAACAGAATCTTTGAAATTTGAGCATTCCAGAAAAAACAAAAATGCTGTCTAAAAGAGATGACTGAGTAGTTATACAAGTATCCTGAAAATCACTAAGCAGCTAAGTGTTTCTTTTGCACTTGCAGCAAAACACATACAAGGAAAGAGATCTCTTTAATTGGTTGTTTTAACCTCCTTTTCTCCAATGATTAGACTATTAATGGGAGGAAGCTCTTGTGGCTTTAGTGTGAAGTAAGATTCCTTTTACCTAACTTGGCCAGGCTCTGAAAGTATGAGGTTGAATGCCAACCATTTAATAATACAGATATAATAAACTCAATGTAAATTTAATAAAAATCAGGCCCCAAGGCCTTTTGATTCATTAAAGCAGCAGCAAATGTCAGGACATATTATCACAAGGTAATGAGTGATGATTTAGTGCTAATTACATTTCAGCGATCAATTTGTTTGCACTATATGACACTATTTTTGTCCTTTGAGTTGTACAAGAATGTTTAAATGTAGTAACTTTTATAAAATTTCGGTATCCATTGATGCATTATACCACCAAAACAGAAAATATATACTTTAGGTATTTCTTTAAAATAATTGAAACAAGGTCTTCCATTTTCTGTAATACTTTGTTTAGTTGTTACTAAGAGGATTAAGGAAAACAAGTGAGGGTTTCCTTGCAGTCCTTATTAATAGTTCACTCACCTTGTGCCTTTTATGCAGACAGAATTTTCACCCTGATCTATAAATCTTTGTCTTAGAAAGGAAATGTTCTTTTGACAGATGTTGTGGCTCAGAATAAATTTCTCTCCTATCCCAAAGGTGTATTCCTTTTTAACTGTTTGAGCAGAAACTTCAAAAGTTGATATCTCAAAATCATCGGACATGGATCAAGCTCACATGAAATGCTCAATCCAGTTCCTTCTGGGTCATGTCCATTTACAACATTTGGGTTTGGTAGCCTGGAGATTATAAAAGACAAGATGTTTCCCTATGTCTTCAGGTCCTCATGAATGTGCTTCAAATGGATCTGAGAAAAAATTGCAGCTGTTCTGACCATTATCTCTCAATGGCTATGAGGATAGAAATGGATATTTTGGAGTGGAGGAGGAACATTTGTTAAGAGCTGGTTGTAGAGAGTCAGTGTGACATAGTGCATGCAGTCTGTTGCTTAGAATCCAATATGAATTCAGATTTATTCCTGTGAATTTAATTGTGAGCCCTTTTTTTTTCCTTCACCATTCAGTGCTTATATGCAAATTGTTGTTGGTGATACCCATATGTATTAGCTGTATTTAGCTCCACTAAACAGAAAGCTGAACTCTAAGGGTGGGAACTCACTGGGACTTATGATGAAGACTTGAATTAGTGGGGCACCATTTCTAGTTGGGTTCAGCATCGTTAGCATCATTATCAGTGGTCTATTTGGTTTCTCTCTCTGACCTCACTTCTGAATATCTACTTTAATTTCAGACTAGCTTTCCTTCAAAGGAGAACACTATTTCAGTTAGTGGAAAACATTTCCTTGTCAACTGCACAAGGCATTGCCCTGCTATGAAATTCCTCTGACCATCTATGAGCTGGCAGAGGAAATGTAGATTAAATATTACAGATTGGTTTTGTAATCTGCAAGGAAGCTAGAATTCCCTAAAATCCATAGGTGAAGGAAAATAAGTCTAACTCTACTTATTTATTTGTTGGCTGAGGTCTCTATGATAAAATACAGATTAGTAAGAAATAAACAAATACAGACCCTCCCTGTTGGTGCAGCAGGTTAAAGCACAACTCTGAGAAGCTAAAGCCACTTCCACATGAGTTAAGATTCCTGCCTGCCTGAGGTGACCACATGGCGTGGCAGACCTCTCTTGACTTGCCCACTGCTCCCCTCAGCAGTGTACTTTATCAGTCTCCCTGTTCTGCTCCCCACTCTGTCTCTGGTGAAGCCTCTTGCCACCCCTGATCCTCTTGCCTGTACCCCAGTTCTGTATGCACAAATAAATAAATCTTAAAAAAAAAGAAATAAACAAATACTTATTAAAATGTTTATTTCATGAGTGGCTTCCCTAGTAGTTTAGAACTGCAGATTATGTACAGTCTTTTAAAAATAATAATAAATTTATGGATATATAATAGGAAAAATAATAGGAAAATTTAAAATAGTTGTAGGCCTCTAAAATAAGAGATAAAGACTAGTTAATAAAGTTTGTTATGTAGATTCCTCTACATCATTTCTAGGCTGATAGAGAAAGTTATCTCTGGGTTATTAATTCATCCCTGGCAGACAGGATGCAAAGTCACCTTTGTCAATTTATATCTTGTTTTTTAGTCAATAGGGAAAAGGCAGGGAACTTTTCTTGATTATGTTTCTTTCCAGTTATCTTGAATTCAAGATAATTCTTATTCTGATATTACATTTTAGGCCTGGATAGTGTGCAAGCCTTCAAAAACATGGGAAAAATGGAGATAAAGAAACCTCATTTGTCATTGTAGATATCTGAGGTTAATATCCTAGTCTAAAGATACCCCTCCCCCCTCTATATAATGTATATAATATTATATAATGGATATATAATATATAAAATGTCTATGCTAAGTTCATTGACGAATGTGGTTCGTTTTCCACTTCATCTCATTTTCAAATAATACTGTTTTATGCTGTGATCATCATTGTTCACTTCATAGTCCAGTGTGCAACCCTGGAAGGTAAACTGAGAGAGAGTAAATGGGACACCCAGGGTCATCCAGCTAATGGGTGTCAGAATCCAAGAAATCGCCCACCTCTTTCTTCCCTAAAGCATCTTCATATTGTCCTTTATGGAAATATTTCAAGAATTAAGAATGTTAGAACTCAGCATTTCAAGAATTAAGAATGTTAGAACTCAGCACAACAGGGAATTATTTTCTTCCTTGCTTTGAGGTGTGGAACAATCTAGAAGTCCTTGAAAATTTATGCAAAACTGGATATGCCTTTTTTTTTTTTTTGAGTTAGGTACTTTAACAGTCATCAGTATCTCAAAGAGTACACGTCTCAAAATATCTTCAATGATATTTCCTAGCTCATATTTCTCATTTTACAGATGGAAGGTTAGAAAGGTAAAGAGGCACATTAAGGCTTTGCAACTTCCTCTTTATTCTTTAAATGGTCTCTCAGATCTCCACATACTGACATAGGGTAGGATTGAGGACAGAGAAAGGAGTAACAGCTGTATCTTCACAAAGCTCAGAACTGATTGCTGGGAGTCATGTTGCTGTGTGGGTCCCATGGAAGATTGTCTAAGGGGCACGGTGGTCATTTCTCCCTGCTAAGTTCAGTACCTGGTAGTCACTCTCTTATGTCTGTGAGACTTGCCTCCACTTAGTATGTCCCTTCTTTGTCAGACTTGTCAAAAGACAACTGTGAACTCATCTTGTTGCTTTCATCTTTGCCTTCTCAGTTTTTCACAGTGTCTGGCTTGATGAAAATCCATAGAGGTTAAGATGATACATTAGCATTGTCTTGAATTCTAAGGGAGCAGATAATGAGACTGTTTGCTGAGTGTTAAGGGGAAGGAGAGGCCAAAAGTAAAATTATGATAGAGCTATTCTGCTCAGGGTTTCCAGCTTTCCATTCAAGACCACTGAGTCAGGTCCCTCTCTCCAATAAATTGGAGCTTCCTTATGCCTGACTCAGGTGTTCTGTCCAGAGTCACTCGTCAATGTTATAAATGGTGTCATCCATTTATATTATTTATTCTAGTTTTGCTTGCCCATAGGTTTTGAGCTGAAGGTTTGCCATAGGAACAGTGGTTAAAAAGTGAGCCTTGGAAACATACCATTTCAATTTAAATTCTGACTCTCATCTGGGTTAGAACAACTTACCAGCTCTCTGTGATTCTGTTCCTCATCTGTGAAATGTTGCCTGATTCATAAGATTGTAGAATGGCCTGAATATTCAACTTGTAAAGAATACTTAGCGAAGTGCCTTGTCCCGGGAAGCCCTCAATGCACACTTGCTATTAACTAGCTATTATTTAATTTTACTGTTTCTCTCTCAGCTCTAAGACAACGTGTCTCTAATAGTAACACGAGTACAGTTAAACAATCATAACTTTCAAAGATTTTTCCAATGAATAATACCTTAGTTTAAAACTAGCAAAAAAAAAAATTGAGAAATTGCATTTGCATTTGAGTATAGCAGTGTTTTAAGGAATGGAACTTTAGTTTGATTAACACTTACTCTACACAAGGTGCTAGGTGCTGTATGTCTAGTAAATGAAGTGTTCATCTAGAGTTTGCTGACTAGTTGGGGAGACAGACAATGAACAGATCATTATTCAACAGTGGGATAAGTGTTAGAGCACAGATAAACTCAGACAAGTGGTACTGCAAGATTTCCACAGTGATATGCTGTATGAGCAGAACTTAATATCCACAAGGGTATCTTTGCAGGAAGGCTGTAAGCAAAATCTTTACATTTTCTCCCCTCCAGTTTTCACCAGTCTTTACCTGGGACCTGTAGAAATAAATAAATCTAGTGACTTACCACCAGACCACCAGACCAGTGATTTACTGGGGCTGATGAACCATGCTATCTATGATAGTTCTGAAACTGACTCTCATCGAGCACATCCTGTTCAACAGTTTTGAGAACTTCATAAGGATCAGTTGATATACAACCTGATAATCATATTCTGTTTTTATTTCTAACTTAAAAATAAGAAAACTGAGGCTTGAGATAGAAAATCTGCATGAAGTCACAGTGATCCCAGAATTTCTGCTCTCAAAGTCCCATTTTTTAGGCCTCCTACCATAATTTTTTGTCCTTAGTATTCATCAAAATGCAAAGCAATCCCAGTTCTCAGAGTTTCTTGAAACTTCCCATGTTGGGCACTTCCTATGCTGAGACTGTTTTGGTGTAAGATAGGGGTTTAAAGACTAAGAAGGAGGTGAACAAGGCTTGATTTTGATTTTTGTGATCAGTGACAATTAAACATCTGCGAGTTGATAACTTTGTCACATAAAGACACCTGCCCCATTTTAATAAAGGTGGCATCACATAGTGCTGAAAAGAATAGGAAGGTTTAGCATATGGAAGCTCCAGTTACTGAAAATGGGATTGTCTTCTCAACTTTATCACTTCCTGTTCCACAGCCTTCATATTTAGAAAAAAAAAATATATGTAATGCAAGAATATATACTGAATAGAGAAAAATGCTAGAGTTCTTTTTTGGAAGTCAGGTTCTACTTCCTATCTGGAAAACTTTGAGCCAATTACATGACTGTAAACTATAGAAATGGAAATCAAAATGATCTCTTTATGATATGTTTGTTTTAAAGATTAAAATGAATAAAACTGGTGAGTGTTTAATACATTGTTTAATAGAGTACTGGTGAGTGTTTAATACAGTGCTTAGCAGAGTTCATTGTAACTACTATCGTGCTCATTCACCTGCTCACTCTCTCTCTGACTATACCCCCGCCATCACTAGCTCCACTGCCACCAGCAGCAACATCGTCACCATCATAATCATCAGCAAAATGCCCTTGCCACCTTTACCATTAGCATTGCCATCCTCCTTCATCAGTATTATGCCTGACTGACCTGAATGATTGGCAGATTATTATAAAGGTTCAGAAAGGGCCACGGAAAGGCCTCCAGCATCAAAGTTGGAGCCTGGGTTAGATTCCAAGCACCACTAGTTGAAATGTCTCCTTGAATAAGATGTTTCAACATTCTGAGCTTTCCTTTTTATGTTAAGATCATGGGAATTACATGTTTTTTGTTTGTTTGTTTTGTTTTTTAATGAAAGAGTATAGAAGAGAACACTGGGAATTTTCAGAGCATAGACATTCTTCTTAGAAGATGGGAGCTACCAGCACTCCCTGGTGGTGCAGTGGGTTAAAGCACTGCACTGAGAAGCTTAGGCCACTTCCGCATGGGTTCGATCCCCACTTGCCCCGGAGGAGATCCACATGGCGTGGCAGACCTCTCCTGGCCCGCCCGCTGCTCCCCTCAGCAGTGTACTTCGTTGATCTGCCTTTTCTGCTCCCCACTCTGTCTCTGGTGAATCCTCTCACCTTCCGCATCTCTGGCCTGTACCCCAGTTCTGTATGAATAAATAAATAAATCTTTAGAAAAAAATAAGATGGGAGCTACCTAGGTAAGCTAATATCTGTGGAAATCTATGAGCTGTTAATATAATCATAAAAACAGGGAACCTGGAACCCTGATACTGATGCATGTTTATAGGGTTAGTGCTCCACTCCCCTATCTCCATTCCTAAATTTCTATAGAATAGGCCAAAAAAACAAACAAACAAAAAAAAACTTTACTAATTACTATTAATGGTTATTTCAATACTGCAGAGATTTAAACTAAAGGCCTTTCTACCAAGCTATTGACTTACTATCATGGATACCACTAATTCAGAATGTCTTTGGTTTGTGTTCCACCAGCACCAGAAACTTTCTTCATCCTTATATTTTTTCCCCTTTTTTGGTTTCAGCTCCTTCTGAGATCACATTTGCCATCGATGTTGGGAATGGCCCTGTAGAGCTTGTCGTACAGTCGCCCTCTCCTCTGAATGACAACCAGTGGCATTATGTCCAAGCCGAGAGGAACCTCAAAGAGACCTCACTCCAGGTGGACAACCTCCCAAAGATAACCAGGGAGACTTCAGAGGATGGTCGTTTCCGATTGCAGCTGAACAGCCAGTTGCTTGTAGGTAGGGGGAAATCTTCAAACATTTTTTATATGAAAGACCCTATCTGACGACTATGTGAGGACTATGTGAGGAGGCATGATTGCTATTTATCTTAAATAAGTAGGATATGCTTTCTTATGGGAATCACGTTGCTTCATCATATTAACTTATAATTTCAGGTATGCATCATTCAATATCCACATGTGTGTTATCACATTAAGTTCACCACTGAAAATCTCACTTTATCCTCCACCATGCCAGTACCCCTTCTTACTCAGTTTGTTCACACCCCTTCTTTTCTGATAATCACAAATTGGTCTTAGATTATAAAAGGGTATTTTTGTCTTTTCTAGTTCATTTATATTTCTTTGTTTCTCTGTGTACCACATGCAAGTGAAATAATACTGTCTTTTCCCTGTCTGACTTCATTCACTAAACATAATATCCTCTAGGTAATGATTAAAATATATCATAAAGCATTTTTAATTATAAATTTGATTCTACAAAGTGTTCTCTTCTAGGCTCATTAGCCACAGCAATAAAATATTATGCTGCCCCCTTTAGCAAATTTTGAGTTGGTCTCAGACTCTTTGAATCTTTTCTCCTTCAATGTATTATCTTTACATGTCTACAGATCTCTGTCTTTTCATCCTTATAATCAAAACCTCTCTTAGAATAAGGAAATAACATTTATTTTCATTTTAGTGTTAAATCTAAGTGAATGAGACTTACTTTAACTTTCCTAGGAATACCTGAATCCTGATAATTATCAATAGCAGTATAATAAAATACACTGCAACATTTAACTGGAATTTCAGTCATCAGTACCATGGTAGGGGAAGGAACTATGGTATTTTAAACTAGGAGGCTGTCTTATCCGTGCACAGAAAAGCAGCCCTGGTCCCAAAGCTGATGCTTCTACACTGGCCATGCCTTCCATGATACCTGGAATCAACCACTAGATAAGTGGCTCATCTGAACCGGCTGCCACTGCTATAGGGGAGATTAGGATGACTCAGATGACATTCCTTCATTCATTCATTCATGCATTCATTCATTCAGTATTTATTTGGTATGTGATTAGAAGATGAATTGTGTTTTTTTATCTCTTTACACAGGTGTCCAAATTAGTTGTGTGTATCTGTGTGTGTGACAGAAAATTAAGCCACATTACTAATGACATTAATAGAGGTATTAAAAGTTGCCCTCACAATTCTAATTTATAAAATATTCTCAGAAAGTGTCTTGAAACAGCACTTATAAAACTTTTTTTTTTCCCTTAAAGATTTATTTATTTGTGCATACAGAACTGGGGTACAGTCTAGAGGCTCAGGGGTGGCGAGAGGTTTCACCATAGACAGAGTGGGGAGCAGAACAGGCAGGCTGACAAAGTACACTGCTGAGGGGAGCAGTGGGTGGCTCAGGAGAGGTCTGCCACGCCATGTGGTCACCTCCGGGGCAGGCGGGAATCAAACTCATGCAGAAGTGGCTTTAGTTTCTCAGTGCTGCACTTTAACCCGCCGCACCACTAGGGAGGGCCAGGACTTATAAAACTTTTAAGTGCAAAATAAAGTGTCGCTATTAGGAGTATTATAATATTAATTAAAATAAGTGTGTGCTCTTGTACAAAAGTTGAAGTTCAAACTTATAACAACAAGATAAATTAGCTACAAGATTTGCCAGTCAACCAAATTTAATTTTCCTCCCTCCTTCCTTTTTTCTTTATTTGTCTTTGGGAAATGAAATCAGTGAGTGTTTCTCAGTTGTTCATTTTAAATTTGGGTTCTGTAACTTTTAACTGAGAGAAACTTGTCAATGAAATCATACCAGCTGAAGGAAAAGAAGTAACAGAATATGTTATGTAGTCTCCTCTTAACAGAAATTATATTTCTTTCTTCATTTATCATGCTTTACATATCTACCAGAAGCTAAGACATAAGTGATTAAAAGCATTTTTATGATTTTAAGTCATTTGCTTAATTAGTAACCCATATAAGTGGTATGATTTAATATTAAAATATTTTTTTAAAATTTATATTGCTGTTTTAATTCTATTTAAAAATTACATTTTATTTCTGTGAAGAAATTTGTTAGTCATCAAGATTTAATACCTTTTTTTGGTGAAATCAATTCAAGTAGTATGCAATTTTCATAAATTTTATTCCATGCCGAAGTTTAATTTATTTTCAGGCAACATTTATGAGAATTTCTGACTGAAAGG